GAGGCTGCGCAGCCGGAGCCTCCTGGGCGTAGTGGTGGAGGCTGGGTCCCGAGCGATGTGGCTGAAACTGGGAGGGAAGAGTTAAATCGGCAGGCAGCGTATTACAGGGAAATTGCCCTTTCATGCTGCTTTATCCCGCTGAATTCATTTAATTGATGAATCACATAACTTCGAGATGGAGAAGACCCATTATGTCATCAGCTTCCCTCCCCTGCCAGTGCAGGATTGTTCCCTACAGTATATGATCGTGTACATTATATAAAAGCCTGCTGCTCACTTTGTCAAAGCGATCAAATACAACCTGGGCCTGTGTAATTTGAAGCACTCCAGAGCTAAGTAACACCAAGTCCATGTTTAACAGACCTGCTCTCATTAGCTTTCTGCTGCATAATACATTATCTTCACTTAAGATCACCACCTTGGCAGTCCAGAAATACTTAACTACCTGACCTCACGGATGGTTTCTGTCTCTTCTTCCCTTCCCTTTATTTATCCCCATGTTTTGTCGTTTTGGGGTGGGTGGTTTTTTTGGTGGTGGTGTGGTTTGGGGTTTTTTGCTAGAGTACAAACCATTCTAAAATCCTCTAGTCCTAGCTGTGCTGAAATCACAGCTACTTTGCATGCTGCATTCACCAGCCCTGGTGGAAACAGAAGTGCAAAGAAAAAGAAACAGATTTCCTGTCTAGCCTGGTTTGGGTTTTTTTTTTTTTTTTTTTTTTTTCCAGTGAGAGTCACATATGCTGAAAGTTTTGTGAAAAACTTCTGGTGAAGTTCTGAGCAAGAGAAAAGTCTCTTTCTGCTGCTCCCAGGCAAAACAATCAGAACGCTAAATAAAAAGAGAGAGTATTCTCCTAGTGAAAATCACAATCGCTAATTTTCTGTCTGGTTGTTTAGTGGCATCAGTACCCAGCCCTGGACCCAGCAGCCCTAGACCCTGTACAACTCAACACCCACCCCGCCCCCCCCAAAAAAAAAAAAAGAAAGGCAGTCCTGTTTCCTAAACTAACCAGGCTGGTTTTCCACCCTTCAGGAAACTCGACTACAGCCTTTGACTCAACATCCTCTTATGGCAGTGAATTCCACGGCTGGATGACATGCTGCACAGAGCTGACTGCAAAGTATTCGGAGAGCTCTGCATTCAGTGCGCTTGGAACTGCTTTGCAGAAATAGCTCAGTGAGCTAGACCTCACCCGGCCCTGGTGCAGCATTATATCCCCCTGTACTAGTTCAAAGGCAAATAACGTATGCTCAGGACTGTGATGAAAATGCAGATCTGATGAGCAGAGGCCTGAGTTCAAGGTGCTGTTCTGCCCTTGGTTTCCTGCATGATTGTAGGCAAGTCTATGGGTTCTGCTTTTATATCTGAAAAACAGAACTAAAAGTGCCTCCTTTGCCTGCCACAACTGCTTAGGCTGTTTGTTCCTGAGGGCTGCCTTAGCACAGCTGAACCCAAATCCTCATTTGGAAGCTGTGGGTACACCAGCAGCAGAAAAGAAAAAATAGCACCCTTTTTTTTTACATTACAGGGTAGCGAAAGGATGAACTGGGATATTGCTAAGCCCCCCCCCCCCTCTGCATTTTGAATAGATTTGAACTCTGTGATTTCTCATTCCAATCTAACTAACATTACTGACAAGCAGTCATGCTGGAAGGTAAATGTCTTACTAAGAAAAGTGGACTATTAGCCATAGGGTCACTGAAAGTCTTATTAAGGTATATAGACTAATGAGCAGTTACACTAGGGCTTGCAAAGAGGTCATGTGTTACACATTACAGTGCTAAGTAGCTCAAATTAAATGTTGAGGAATGGAAGGAGATTCCGACTTGCTGCAGAATTTGAAGTCAGGCTTCCGATATTTCATACTTCGTATATTACTTAAAATGGCCACCAGCAGTAGAACTGGTAATCCCCCCCAAGGGTCAAACTGAGAAGCTCTGTTCAGGAACAAAAGTTTTCGTAGGGAGACTACAAGTTGCAAACGATCAAAAGTTTGAGATAAACAGCAGGCAGTATTTAAAAAAAAAACATTTAGAGCAGCTGCTTTAAAAAATTCCCCTTAAGCACCTTTCTGCTTCCATAGACGCCAAAATAGCTGTCGCCATTCCTTTCCTTACCTCTTATCGATGGCCCAGGTTTGCATGGTGGTAGGTCTGGTGGCACAATGCAAAGGGCATTACGCCTCTCCGATAGCCGTTCACCATGAGAAACACTTGCACTTGAGCTCCGCCATGGAAAGTTCATCCAGCCTGGTGTGGTAGTGCGGATGAGCACAAGCAGATGGGGAAGCAGCAAGCGTTCTGAGTTGCACAGCTTGAGGAGCTTCGCTGCCATCTTTGATGGCTGCTGATGTAACTTTTTGTAGGCAACCAGAACTGATAGACTCCTTGTGTCAAAGACAGGTCAGCACAGCAAAAGCAGAACTGTTTCTGCAAGTCCAAAGCCTTGCCTTGTAGAGAAAGCTGAAGCTTCCCGTGTTTTGGTCTGGCAAACTAAAGATTTCCCCTGGTGAGAAAGAACAGAAATTATTTTTTTTGAGAGAGAGAGACAGGCAGAGAGAATTGAGTTGTTGATTAAAACTCTTAGTGTATTGTAAGGATTAAAGAAAAATTGCATTGAATTACTGTAAATCTGAAGCTGGATTAAAAAATAACCGTTGGTTTTATGCAGTGAAATAGGCTTTAAACACTGTCACTGGGGAACCTGAAAACTACTGATTTCAATCAACGGACACAGAAGCAGAGTGGATTTCCCAGCGTGACATCATTCATGTAGTTGGCATGAGCGATGCTCTTTGCATGCTAAATTTCCTCGACATGAAGAGGCAGTTTGTGCAATAGAAACCATTGCAATATCCAAAGTGACAAGTGATGTCCTGGTTGTTTGAACCTTATGGATCTTCATAGGCACTGTAGGCCCAATTCCTCCAAGCCTGGAAAACAGCCTAGGAACATTATAGCTCCATTTAGAGCTGCATAAACCCACAAATGAGTTGTGCAGGTGTCACCATAGACATAATTTAATAGCCTTGGAGGCAGAGGATGCTATGCATGAAGGGAGATGTTTTGGCCTAAATTTGCCTT